CGCATTTCGCATCGTTGACGACAAGAAAGGCCACGTCGAGAGAAAAAAACGACGAATTTGCATTGACTGTTTACCGTTAGGATGGGAGGCCCCGGACGGAACCCCTATCCGCAGGCTTGAGGGGGGAGTATGAACATATTCGGGTAAGGAATAAGGACAGGAGTAGTAGTGCTAGTGCTAGTGCGAGTGCGAGTGCGAGTGCGAGTACTAGTACTAGTACTAGTACTAGTACTAGTACTAGTACTAGTACTAGTACTAGTACTAGTACTAGTAGTAGTAGTAGTAGTACTAGTAGTAGTACTAGTACTAGTAGTAGTAGTAGTAGTAGTAGTAGTAAGTAGTAGTAAAGTAGTACTAGTACTAGTACTAGTAGTAGTCGTAGTCGTCGTCCGTCGTCGTCGTCGTCGTCGTCGTCGTCGTCGTAGTATAGTAGTGGTAGTAGTAGCAGCAGTAGTAGCAGTAGTAGCAGTATTAGTAGCAGCAGCAGCAGTAGCAGTAGCAGTAGAGTAGCAGAGCAGTAGCAGTAGCAGCAGTAGCAGTAGCAGTAGTAGTAGTAGTAAGTAGTAGTAGTAGTAGTAGTAGTAGTAAGTAGTAGTAGTAGTAGTAGTAGTAGTAGTAGTAGTAGTTAGTAGTAGTAGTAGTAGTAGTAGTAGTAGTAGTAGTAGTAGTAGTAGTAGTAGTAGTAGCAGTAAGTAGTAGTAGTAGTAGTAGTAGTAGTAGTAGTAGTAGTAGTAGTAGTAGTAGTAGTAGTAGTAGTAGTAGTAGTAGTAGTAGTAGTAGTAGTAGTAGTAGAGTAGTAGTCGTAGTCGTAGTCGTAGTCGTAGTAGTAGTAGTAGTAGTAGTAGTAGTAGTAGTAGTAGTAGTAGTAGTAGTAGTAGTAGTAGTTGTTGTAGTAGTAGTTGTAGTAGTAGTAGTAGTAGTAGTCGTCGCAGTAGCAGTAGTGTTAATAGTAGCAGTAGTAGTAGTAGTAGTAGCAGCAGTAGCAGGAGTAGCAGTAGTAGTAGTAGTAGTTGTTGTTGTTGGTGTTGTTGTTGTAGCGACTATACTCGAATGGCACGCGTGCCATGGCTCGTGCACGTAAAGCAAGGGGAGCAGGAGGAGGTGCAGGAGGAAGTATTCCGACACGGCCTCCAAGATGGTTCAAAAGAGCTCAAGACGCTTGAAGGTGGCGCCCACAAAGCCTCCAAGGGTCTTCAAGAGGGCCACAAGACACCCCCAACTGCTTTCGGAGCACCCTCGGGACCCTCCCCAAGAAGCCCAAATCTTTCAAAACTCCAGGAAAATCAATTGGTTGTTCCTTGAGATTTTTTCGCTTCCGATGAGCTTGTGGAGCCTCCAGGCTGGGCTGGTTGGGGGGGGAGGCCGTGCGTGCGTGCCGAAATAAAAAGGGTCGGGGGGGAGGGAGCACGCCAGCTGGGGAGCGAGGGAGAGCTGGGCTGGCTGAGGGGGGGAGGGCGGTGTCAGTGCCGTGCGCGCGTGCCGGAATAAAGTGTTCGGGGCGGAGTGGGCGCGCTGGTTGGGGGGCGAGGGGGAGCTAGGCTGGCTGGGGGTGGGAGGGAGGGCGCGGTGCCAGTGCCGTGTGCGCGTGCTGGAACAGTTGGTAGTGGCGGAGGGGGCGCGCCAGATGGGGAGCAAGGGAAAGGTGGGCTGGCTGGGGGGAGGGGGAGGCGGTGCCGGTGCCGTGCGTCCGTGCCGAAACATAATGGTCGGGGCGGAGGGGGCGCGTTGTCCGGGGGGCGAGGGGGAGTTGGGCTGGCTGGGGGGAGAGGGGGGCGCGATGCTGGTGCATGCGTGCGCGCCGAAATATAATGGTCGGGATTCTAGACATTATGTGCAAGAGAATGGTATTAGTAGCGGTTGTAGTAGTCGTAGTCGTAGTCGTAGCCGCAGTACTAGTACTAGTACTAGTGCTACTACAAGTACGAGTACTAGTTGCAGGAGTAGGAATCAAAGAAGTAGTAGGATTAGCCAGCCATGCTGCATTCCGCTTCGCACGGTGCGCATTGCACGCCCACGGGCAGTTTTTTGCTCATCTCGTGCTGTTCGGCCTGCAAGACTTGTCCTCGATCCCTTTTGCCTCGTTCGCGTTCCTTTTCGGGCGCTCCGCAGTGCATGCCACGGGCAGTCGCTTGCGCGTTTTGCGCTAGTCAGTTTGCAGTCTCCGATTTTGCCTTAAGGCCACTCTACCGTGATAGTTTCCATCGCCGTTTGGCCGTATGCCGCACTTCTTGGTCCCGCGAGTACCGCAGCCACGAGTTGGGGCGGCTGCGGTCAGGAGGGACTGGCGGGGACCATCCAGGCCAGGCACCGTTTCGAATCAGCATCTGAGCACATCAATTTTGCCCGCCGCGAGTGTGTCAGTCTTGGGTTAGCTGTGCAGGTTTTTGCATCGGTGTGAGCTGCACGCGCGCACCTTCTCTGACTACTCAATGTGAATGATAAGACCTCCCTGGCTGCAGCGATGGCCTTTTACAGTTCGGCTACGCTGCTTGACCTGCTC